GTTATCGAATGTAATAAGTCACATAAAGAGTTGTAATTCAGTTACCTAATTATCTAAACTAATTATCTAATGTGTAAGTAATTAAAATGCTAATTAAGGTGAGTGAAATGAACTTTTCTTTTTCACAAAAATAAAACACTAGAGATTAGTTAATTTTGAAATCATTATCTTCATGTGATTAGGCTAAATTAAGCTTCCCTTTCCTTTTGACTAAAGCTATCTTGACCTAAAAAGACTATCTTAAGCCAATTAATTTAATTAGCTAATTTTTCTAAGTCTTAGGTTAAAGTCCCTAGTTCAATTAACTAATTGGTGCAAGAATTAGCCAAGTGAATCACTCGAATTCTCCTCTTAAATGCTATGGCCAAAGCAATAAAGTGAGTAACCACAAGATTATGTCAAGTTATTCAACAACACAAGTATTAACATTACAAGATCATGCAACAACAACACATGTAATTCACTAAATGAAAAACATAAGACTATGTGTTAAACATGAAGTGGCCAAAATCACCAAGGCAGTAAAAGAAAGAAATTAACCAACACAATCCTCTTCTATTTACATCAAGATCAAATTCAAATTAAAATATACAAGCTAAGATGATCAAACTCTAGACTAAGACATCTAATTATCTAGTAAAAAGAGAAGAGAATAGGAAACAAAAGAAACTTAGCCAATTGAAGCTTTAGATTCATCTTCCCTATTCATCTCTCTAAGATTCCACCAAGAAACTTAGCCAACCATCTTCATCTTCAAAAACCCTAAGAGAAGTACCTCTTGGCCAAAATCCATAGAAGCTTGAATGAAGAAATTGAGCTTAGATCCTTATGAGAATGGAAGGGATGGGATGAGAAAGGAGAGATATGAAGAATGGTGTAGGTTTTGTGGAGGTTTAGTAGCTGGAAATGGAGGTATAGGTACTAGAAAAATGAAGAAAGTAGAAAGAAGGTGGATAAAATGAAAAATAAGATAAACTAGAGAGAGAGAATGGAGGAGATTAGTGAAATGGTGTGTAAATCTCAATTTGGGTGAGAATGGACGTGCTCCTAGTGTTCCCCTTTAGCTAATCACAATTAAATATTGGATAGATACAGAGAATGATTCATGCAAGTTTGAAGTTGAAATTTTTTTATTCAATAAATGCAAGCATGAGCATTGGATCTGATATTTGATTCTGGCAAGTTTTAAAGCTTAAAAGTATTCATGCGAGTTTGATTTTGAGAATGAGAACTGCATTTTAAGAATGAGAACTGCATCTTGAAAGTGATAATTTTCTCGCATGTTTGAAAATGGTTTTAAAAAGGGACTTTATATAAAACACTGGTTGCTAACGGTAGTTCTGTTAGCCCTTGGTGCGCCATGGTACACCTAGCTAGCAGGGTGTTTATAGGAGGTGCTAGCCTCGTGCGATGACCAACGCACGTGGAATGGAGGGATGGTTATTCGTGAGCATAGTACTCACATTTGTTTCGTGGCTCTAGCCGCATTTGGTTTGTATTACCCTCATGGACTGTGTGTCCACGTTTGTTTCGTGGCTTCGGCTGCGTTTGGTTACTTACCTTTGTGGACTGTGTGTCCACATTTGTATTCGTGGCATAAGCCGCGTTCGGTTATTTACCATCGTGGACTGTGTCCGCATTTGTTTATTGTTCTAATAAGTCCTTAAAAATTTGTGAAATTGATTATTTGGTGATTTTATATTTCATTAGTTTTTATTTAGTAAATTATTTACAACTATTTATTTTACTTATGTATTTTTTGAAAATCAAGTGATAAAAAAAATTATTATGATAGTTTAATGATTTAAGATTTTTTTAAAATTTTGTTAGAGTCATTTTATTTTGAAGTTTATTAAATTTTTATGGAAACTGTTGTCTGTTTGACTTACATAATTATTTTAAACTTTCCTTTTTAATCATGTTCGATTATTTATGGTTGGGACGTTATTCACTGGAAAATATTTTATTTGGTCTCAGATACCAAAGCTGATTTTGTACTCCCTGTTGATCTCTGATGGGCTCATTATCGAATTGACTAGAAGATTATTTTTGAGAATATCATTTTATTAATGTAACTCTTGAAAACATATACAGTATCTTTTGGAAGTCTGATTTAAAGAGCTCCACATTAACTATAGTTAGTGTCCTACCTCTTTTTGTTATGTTAATTATTTGCTGCTGAGGTGAAAAGCATTTATATTGTTGGATATATGTTGTAAATTTTCTGTTGAAGAAATTTCGGTGGATCCTACCTTTAGGGGAGATGTTGCATAAATTTATAAAATTTGATATTTTGATTTATGTGAAAAGTAAAACTTAATACATTGATTTAGAACTTTTCTTAATCGAAGCTTTAGGGATGTGAATTTGTACATATATTTTATGTCAGATATATTAAAATTTTAGGACGTGACAAATAAGCTCTTGCACACATCTCATAACTAAAGTGAGCTACAAGAAAATGCTGATCAAGGGATTCCTTGAAAGATTGAACGAAAATGTGGTTGTACTTTGAAATGTACTTATGACCATCCCCCTCATTTGCTTTTTTGTATAGGGTAAGATATGGTTTAACATAGGTTTGATGTTGTGCTTACCCCCACGATATATTTTTTGATATGAGATGCCCTATGATCTTTATTTATCATCTTGATTGTACTTGACAAAAAAACATACTAAACCTAATAGAATTGCTGTTGTTTTATAAAAATTTTTGTGGTTCATTCTCCCTCTTCATAGTTACTTGTTTTTTAGGGACAATTTAATTGTTCTCCATGTTATATTGTTGAATCCGCATTATTTTTAGATTAATATGACTTGCTATACAATATATAATATTTAAACAAAAGGAAACTTATTGTGAGTGTTCCCTTTTTTGTTTTTTGTATAGGGCAGGATGTCGTTTAATATGGGCATAGTGTTGTTCTTATCCCTATAAATTTTTTTTTTTGATTTGGGGTGTCTTATGGTCTTTGTTTATCATTTAGTTTATACTTGGCACAATAAAAGACTAAACCAATGGAATTGTTGTTGTTTCTTTCATATTTTTGTTGTTTATAATTCCTCTGGACATTTACTTATTTTTCATTGAAAATTCAGTTGTGCTTAATGTAAAATTGTTGAATCCTCACTTGTTAGTATGACAATTACATGTAATGTATTGTGGATTACATGTAAATCAAATACAAAAAGATCCCCCCCATTGTCAGTGCCCTTGTAATTACATGAAAACAACAACTAATTATCTGTAAATCAATATAAACAACAATTTGCGAGCATGATTAAGAAATAATTTACATATAATCTCGAGTAAATTACATGTAAATCAAATATACAAAGAGTATGCCTCTCAGGCAATTATTTTTATTATGGTTTTACTTTTTGTGTTTTAATTAATTAATTAATTTCTGTTTGCTTATTTTTGTTGTGCTTGTATGTCAAAGATGCTTATTCTCGAATAGTGTGATAAACCTGGCTTTTCAATCAAAAAGTAAATCTTGGATCCTTTATCATAATTTTTTCGAATGCAACTATTTAAAAATGAAAGGTTAAAAAGTAAAAATAAAAATAAAAATGGAAGAACTACGAGTTGACATGATAATATTATTGCTATAAAAAATTACAAAGAATATAAAATGGAAAAAAAATAGAAAAATATAGGAGCTACAATCCATTAAATAAATATTGGATCATTTATCATAGTTTTTCTGGATGTAAGTGTTTAAAAATAAAAGATAAAAATTTTAAAAAAAAAAAGAAAAATGGAAGAACTGCATGATGGGAGTAGACATAATAATATTACTACTATACAAAAGTTACAGAAAATATAAAATGAAAAAAAAGAAAAACACAGGAGTCACAATCTATTAAACAATTTGATTTTTAATGTTACAGATAGAAGTTTTTGAGTGGCTTTTGCAAAATAAAATATCAACGTATAATACAATGAAAATAAAAATAAAGTGAACCTTAAGTGTTGGAACAAAATAAAATTAAAGAACGCAAGGTAAACATAAAATAATTAAAGTGAAAAATTTGAATAAATCTTTTAGAGATGCAAGTGAAATTACTTTTTAAGTTTTGGTCATTGTTATCCTCTAGTGGCGTGTAAGAAGAGAAAAGGTAAGAACTTGCGCAACCCACTAAACCAGGTTCATTAATATTAAATATAAAATTTATGCATACTTCCTATTCAAAATAAATTCTAGAATATCACTAGTTTCTCAATTTTCATAAAATGCATAAGATTGGGTTCAAATTAAAAATAACTAAATTAATTATCCATAATCCTAATTATATATAAATACAAAAGTTTGATATGTAAATATTGAAATTTAGTATGTAAATAAAACTAAAACATAATAATTTTTTGTATATGTCCAAAGCATCTTGGACCCTAAATTCATTTTTGCTGTAACGTTACTCTTCAACTTTCAAAAATGGTGCAACTTCTTCCTTATTATTAATTACAGTTAACTTTGAGTATTAGTTGATAAAAAATTATAAAAAAGATACCAAAAGTTTCAGAAAAGAACAAAAAAAAAGAAGAAAATGACCCAAAATTATATATCATGTTTTTTAATTTTTGATGTAATTTTTTAATCAATTAATAGTCAAAGTTAATGTTTATTAATGATAAGCAAAATTACATTGTTTTCAAAAATTAAGAAAAAATATTACATCAAAAAGAAGTTTAGGTTCAAAACACTCTATAATCTCTATTTTAGAGGCCAATTTACTGTCTAACCTTTTTTTTTTTTTTTTTGGGTCTAAGACCTGTTTAATTTAATTCATGCGATTGGCATTTGGCCAAAATGAAAAAAGAAAAATCGTATAAATTAAATCTAAAATTTAAAGCTTCAGAGAGAACGCGTAGAGCCCAGAAACCAAACCACACATCCCGTGGGTTGACGGTTAAAGCTTTCAACAATTGACAGACATAAATGAAATAAAAAAAACAAGCGGCAACAGAATTCGATTCGATTAAGTCGGTTTAAATGGGCCATACTCACGAACCTTCAATTTCACTTATTTTAATATATATCTATATATATATATATAACATATAACACCACTTTGTTTCTAAGGCAACTTGATTCAGCTTTATTCTCAGATTCTGATATCAACTAATTGTATCATCAAAACCTGCAGCTACTTTCATTAGTAAAGCCCACAGAATTCATAAGTGTGTCTGTGCTGAAGAAAGTGAGTGCCTGTTTTAGGGTTTTCAGGTCCAGTATAAGAAGACGAAGAAGAAGAAGATCGTTGTCAGAGAATTACGAGCCAAAACTGAGAAATGGGTATCGCAGAATATTCTCTTATAATCTTAATTATATCTCTCAGTTTCATATCTTCGTCTTCCTCAGTTCATAACACACTCTCTTCAGGTATGCTTCTAACTTATCTATATCTCTTCATGTTGTTGCTGCCTCTACTTCACATGAACTTGATAAGCTCAAACAGAGACAGACAGATAGAGAAGAACTAGGACAATTACTTTCAAGTTTCGATGAAATTTAACTTCAAAATTTTGATAAAAAAAAATCGATAAATATATGGTATTTAAATTTAGTAGTCATTTATAATGATTTATATATAACTGAAATTTTCATGTATCTAATTATCTGAATTAATATTTATAACTTATCTTTTGCTAATTATTTTAAAACCTAATCATCATGTTCGATTAAAAATAAAATAAAATTAGCATGTTGGATTGGTCGCTAATTATTTTCCAGACGTACGATATTATTTATGAATTATGTTCACTTAACGTGTGGCCCAAAGCGAATATGTGTTTGGATTTACGACGAAGGAAAGTGGCCAACTTGAATTTGTGCTCTGTCTCTTTACACCTGTCAATGTCTTATTTTCTTTTTCTTTCTGGAAGTTTCAGATATTACCGAATTTTCGGTCCCCTGGATAACTTTATGCAGAGAAAAAGAATATTAGACACAGTATTGTGTCATTTATTTTTGTGATGCCTATCGTTTAATTTGGGTTTTGTAACCTTCTCCATCTAATTTATGGCACTAAAGTTGGGAATATTAGTCAAGTTAATATGGGTTGACTTCAATTATTTCTTATATAGGTTGGGTTGGAATGCAAAAAATTTGACCCAAATAAAATGAATTTTTTTGACTTAAACCATTTAAGGCGTGAACCAAATGGGTCAACTCATATGAATTAAGGTTAGTCCACTTAACTCATATTTTTTTTTTCAAAAGAAATAATTTTAACTCATACTTTTAAATTGCATCCAACCTCTTTCTCCTTTTTGTGTTAGATTATTGGTGGCTTTTTTTGGTCTTTAAGACGATTTAAGACTTTTATTTTTTTTCCTAAAAGATTATTTAAGCTTTGATTCCTCACTTTTAAATTATGGTAGATAATTATATTTTCATTATGATGTGAATTTTAAGTTTAATGTAATATTCACATGTATTAGTTAGGTATGAATTTTTCTTTATAAAAGGAAGAATGTTAAATGAGTTAGTGAGTTGGTTCATTTAATTTATCAAATAGTTTGGGCTGGATTGGGTAAATTCCAACCCATATAAAAATAAGTTGAACATAATTCAATTTATTTTTTCCCTTAACCCATATAAGCCAACTCATATAATTTGATTTGACTCATACTACTTCCTTTACAGTGAAGTGAGACACTTTCAATTTATATTTTTAATCATTTTTCTCACACTGATATTTGGACAGAACTGAAGCAAGAAAGTAAGATGAAAGAAGGCCAAGGTATACATGCATATAAGGTGGCTAGAGGTGGAGCCTCCGGTGGTCATGCCTCTGGTCACCCCTCGTCAGGTCACTCCTCGCCCCACAATGGTGAAAATGGCGGCAATTCAAAAATGCCAGTGCTAGGTGCTGCAGTTATTCCAGCCTACGTCGCCGGTGCTGCCGGTATGAATAACCGTCATCACCAGAACCACCATGGTACTAGCAATGGAAGCTTTCATCGAATTGAATTTCCCACTTTGCTCATGATTGCCTTCCTCTATACCCCTCTCCTTCATCTATGTTTGTTCATATAGTAAGTGACCATTAGATTTCAGATATCAAACATGCAACTAAAATATGTGTTTGATGCATTGATATCCAAAATTTGAAACCTTTGGTACATAAAATTAAGATTGTGGTGATAATGTAACATTTTAGGATGTCATAGGAACACTTCATTTGAGTGCCACATCATCATATCTTTTAAGAAAAAATGAAAAAAAAAGTAGTCAACATACCATTTTGAGTATCACTCACCTTTTAAAATTCTGTTTGACCTTTTCAATTTTCATTGTTTCTTAAAATCATAGATGTGATGTCTAATTGTAATGTACAATGCACAAAATAGTATCATATAATGTAAGAATTGTATATCAAACACTTTCCCTAGTCTTGTGTGCATGAAATAGCTCTTTGTTTATATCAAACAATGTATTGTTCAATTTATGCATTATAATGAGTTTGAAATTTTGTATCAACTTGGTGCGCTCTCCCCCCCCCCCCAAAGTTTCTAATGGTAATATTTCCCTAACAATTGTTGTATAACTCACAAGTCACGTTGATTTGTTGACCAATAATATCTTGAATGTCATGAAATCAAAGAATATTGAAAAGGCCCTTTTCCCTTTCTTTTTTCAGGAATCGAAATTATAAATATAAATAATGATATCACCTACTTGAAGTATGATGCCAATATTTGCAATCTTTACTTCAGTATTATATTGTTCAATACGTTTATAGATAGTTTTCATTTATAAAGTATGATAACCAATTATTCATGATTGGCCAAATCATTAATGAAAATAAAAAATTTCCAAATACCAAATCTGAATTCTCTCTCAATTGGTTGGAACGTTGGCGTGATGATATACTTCATGGCCAAGGTTTTTGGTTCAAGCGTAGGAAGGCCCAATTGTGCCAAGGAAGAGAATAGAAGAAGCATTTGACTTCTTCAAGCATGCTCCACTTGGAACTATTCATATGTTGTTGATAGAAATAAGGAATGCCAATTTTTAATAATTTTGACATTGGATCATTGTTTTCAAATGGTCCCATTCAACAATGTAAAATATCAGAATGTGATAAAAGGAAAAAAAAAAAAAGGAATTTGATTGGTATGATCCATGGGTTACTCATATATGCATTATAAAATATAAAACATTTAGAGAAGAAAAAATATTTCCTATTCACTCAAGCGCACTAACTATCTGTTCGTCCACAAAAAGAACCTAAAATTATATATCATGTTTTGTAATTTTTTATGTAATTTTCTGTAATTTTTTTTATTAATTAACAATCAAACTTAACATTTGTTAATGATAAAAATAAAATTGTATCATTTTCAAAAATTAAATTGAAACATTACATCAAAAATTAGTTTATTGTTCCAGACACTCTAGAACCTCTAGCTTAGGGTCAATTTATCATTTAATCTTAATTTTTTTATTTAAGACCTATTTATAAATTTGGTAATTAATTCATGCGTTTGGTCTAAATTAAATCGAAAATAAAAGCTTTGGCGAGAACGCCAGAAACCTCACATCACATGAGTTGTTCAAAGTAAGATTCCAACAATTGAGAGACAAAGCTGATGGAAACCACTCCTTTATATGTGTATGTGTGTGTATAATTTTTCAAACGAAACCTATCAAAAATAATCAAAATTTAATTTATTATATATAAAAATATATATATATATATATATAATGATAAATAATCCTGAGACTTACTTCAAACCTAAATTCTTTATTTTATTTACATATAAAAATAATAAATTATTTCAAACCTAATTTTAAAGTACGGAATATATTCATGATTTATTATATTTAAATGTCATTTTTTAAAATACATTTTATTATATTTAAAATGTATATAATTTTTTCCTGGAATATTTTTAGGAGATCATTAGGGTAGATCAGATTTTTCATTTCAAATAGTTAAAAATTATTTTTTATATAAGTCTAAAAAATATATAAATAGATAAACATTAATTTGAATTTAAATACACACACATACTTAATTGTATGAAGCTTAATTTTTGAAATATCATCCAAAATTTTTGAAAATCATCAAGATAGATTAGATTTGAATTTCAAATAAGTAAAAAATAATTTTTATATAGATATAAAAATTAATAATTCATCTCACATCTAAATCTAAATTTGAATAATATATTTTACATACATTAAAAAAATAATAAACCATTCCAAATCTGACCCCAAACTTGACTTTGAAGCACAAAATTGCAGGAAAGACATCTTGAAGTATCAAACTATATCAAATTTAAAAATGAACACTTCACATTCTCTTGTAACTTTAAACTCTACTTATATATATATATATATATATATAAAATATTTACTCCTCATCTTAATAAATGTGCATTTAAATTTATATTAAAACAAATATTTATTCCTTGTCCTAATAAATTCTAAATTATATTATTTTGACAATTATATCATTTCATTGTTCAAAAGAAAGTAAAGTTAATCAAAATATGAACTCATAAATAAGCAAAACTAATTTATACAATATATAATTACCTCTTCGAATGAATGGATAACGACTAAAGTGTATTGATGATTTGTTTCATTACAAAATTTGACAAAAATAATATTTTAAAAATATATTTTTGCTTCTGATTTTTGATGTGATCGGTTGTATATATACTCGATCGAGAAAATCTTAAAAAACATTCTTTTAACCATTTTAATTTATGAATTATAATATATTATTTTATTATTACATCGTGATGCCTTCAAATACTTTTCTAGATCGCCTATAAAGATAATTGATCTAGAAAATATTAGAAATTAGAAAGTATTTTTAAAAAAAATTAATTTAATATGTTGTAATAAGTATTTTTATTTCTTGATGCTTTTTCTACAAGTAATTATAAGTATACTACATGTCATATTTTTCTAGATCGATTTTTATTTTGCCATATGTGAAAATTATTCTATAGATCGATTATTATACAACTGATCTAAAAAGTGAATAAAGTGGACATATAATTACATGTTAAAAATAGATATTAAATGTTTTCCCCTAATAGTGTAGCTTCTGTTTAATGATCATTATAAACATTATGTTCAAAGATAGAAATTCGGGCATGCGGAGCAACTCGAACAAGCCCAAATAGCAAGCTTCACCCAAATTTTTTCAGGCTTCAGGCAACTCGGATATTCAAATTTTATATTTAAAATTATTTTTAATTAATTTTTTTACTTTAAAATTTATTATTTTGTTTTATAAAAAATATAAAATGTATTTTGTTTGATAATTAAACTATGTATAGGACTCAAATGTATGATATTTTAGTATAAAATGACCTAAAATATAAAAAATTAATTAATATTTATTATATTTTTTAAAAAATAATTTTTTATTTGGGTATTTAGGCCAAGCTCAAACCCTACTGGACTTGGCCAATTTTTTTAGGCCTATTCAAGCTGTTCCGAACGTAAAAAATATATTTTTTTTAAGTTTGATCCTAAATTTTTTCAAGCAGATTCAGGCTTGATTCAAATTAATGGCTCTAATTATGTTGGAGAATATTACATAAAAGTTGTTAGTCAAAAGAAAAAACTTACGCAACCTAAACCTATAAACAACGTAAGAATTTTTAAGATATATTTGAATAACTCTCAAAAGTACATTTAAATCACGTTTAGAATGTATTGTTAAATTCAACAAATAGTTCAATTTCTTAAATAGACTTTTGTCATATATAATTTGTCATATATAAATTAAAAACCAAACTCACACAACTTGTCTAACTTGATTTGTATTGGATCATTTTTATACGATTTTATTTTTGGACCAAAAGTCATTGTCAACAAGCAAGACAAATTTGGAATTGTTTCTGTTGGGAATTCTCGATAAAGATCCACTGCATCTTAACCATATTGCGGGGAAAAACAAAAGAAATATCAAGTAAAAGTGATACGCCTCAAAGTAATTTTCTTTAACTGAAATCTTGTTGAAATTGCTCAAAACAATGAATGGATTTTGATTCCATTTTTTCACATTTAAAAAGATTGAATTAACTTTTTTTTTTCATATTTATCTTTTCATTTTTTTATTTTCACCCCCTTTCTCTCTAACCACTTACTTATATTTTAGAAAACATGATCATGATGTAATTTCAGAGGATTTGTTCTATGTTGTGAACTCTAGATGAATTATGGCAAAAATATGTTTATTATGGTTATACTTTTTATGTTTTTAATTAATTAATTTCTGTTTCTTATTTTTGTGCGCATGTTAGAAGAGCTTATTCTCAAATAGTGTGATAACTATTTTAGCTGAGTAAATGGGTTTAATTAAGTAAATTAATATAATGTGTGATTATAGAGAGTTAATGGATGTTTTGGATTGTGATTTCAACTATAAGATTGAGTTTGGAGCAAGGTTGAGCCATACATCGCAACGTGCGTATGGCATGCTACGGTACGCAAGTTACCAAAATGTGGGATGTGTCTCTCTATATCACTTGCAGCGGCATGTGGTACATGCGACACAGTGCATGGTCATTTTTCTGTAAAAATAAGAGTATTCTGCAGTCAAAAAACAGAGAAAGGATAGGAGAAAATTGAAAGAGACAAAAGGAGCTATGCCACAACTTGGAGGATTAGAGCATAGGGATTATTTTGAAGCTTCTAAACACAAGAGGTAAGTTTCCTAAGTATTTATTTTCCTTCCTCTTCCATTTTTCTTGAATATGGAAGTTAGGGTTTGTCAGAAAATATGATTTTCTGTTTGAACCTATTGACTTAAATAAAGTTATTGGAAGTTATTTAGGTTATTTAAACTTAGAATTTATGGCAATATGGGTCTTGGTAGTTAAGGGGTAATAAATACCCAAAATTTCCACCATAAATGAGGTGGTTAGAACAATGTGAAGCCATTAATGACTAGTTGGGAGTTCAATAAAGTTAATGTGAGTTAAAAAAAGTTAATAAACTCTATGGGTACTTTTGTATATGAGGAGATTGAATTTTTAGAGTGATGAAGTGTTGAGCTAGATATTGAAAATTATCCTAAAAAGGATATTAATGATGATTAATGACATTAAGTGTAGAGTAATTATAACTTGGCACCAGTCAAGCTTAGCAAAGTTTTGGAAGTATGTATTTGAGGGATAAACCTTTGACCTCTCAAAAGTTTAAGGTAACTGGGAGAAATATCTCTTGTGCTTTTGTGTGTTAATTGATTTATTAATTTATACTTTGCAATTGAAACATATGAAATCCTTTGAAATGTAAGTATGGCATATGAAACAATGATCTCTCCCTTTTATAACCAGGGGAATTTTGAAAATGATATGATTCTATAAAGTTCAATGATATGAGTACATGGAGTTCAATGATAGGATTGCATAAAGTTCAACGATAGGATTGTAAGGAGTTCAATGATTTGAGTTTGTGAAGTTCAATGATATAATGTTTATGGAGTTCAATGATATAGTGTTTGTGGA